GGTGTAAAAGATTTGGTAAAAATTTGGTAAATGTAGCATGACTCTCTTGGATATATAACTAAAGAAAATTAACTTAGCCTATGAAAAATTAACAAAATATAGAGAATATCTAGAACAAATAGAAAGGTTAAAGGAACATCATATAAATAATAATTCTGACTAATAAAAGTAAAAAAGAGAAGATATAGAAAGATTTGGAAGAATCTATCCAACAACTAAAAGATATAGGACTTAACCTGCAAACTATTTCATTAAGGGCAATATAGACATTTTAGAAAAGAATTAGTTGCTTCCAACTCATCGACAACTTTCTAGCAGAGATTTTCTGTACGTCTAGCACTACCTTTTGGATTAATATAAATGGTCAACCCACAGCCTGACTATTCCATTTTCTGTTTTGGTTTTGTTTGTTTTTTTTTATTATTGCATGACATATTTGACCTAAAGTTTAACGTTGACTTAAATAAGGTATTGCATTTACTCACATTACGTGCAAAAAGAAGAGGTAGATTGTGTTTGAAATTGTGCCTCTATTTTTGCTTTCTGCTAGTTATAACGGTCCGCATTAGTAACCTTAACATAATGAGGAAATATGGAACTTAATATATATCCGAATACTCTAAGTAGAGGTGAACATTTTTAATTGAAGCTGAATCTTTTAAATTGGAATCGAAACGGTTCTGAATCAATTCTCGATTCTTGAACCAGAACCATAGATACCAAATTACGAACCAAATCTTTAGTTCTTGCATTTCTCAAGGATTTGTTACACTGATATTTGGACAAAATTTAAATAGGTGTGACATGTTGATATAGTTCAGCAGTTGGTTAAATAATATTTGGTGGCATATTCTATTTATTGTGCACATATACTGGTAGAATTTGACGCTATTATTGAAATATAGTAATGGAATCAAATTTTATATGTTCATGTTTAAATTGACTGAATTTTGCAATGATTATTTATACCGTCGACATATATATAATTTTGAAATTAGTACGGGTAGAACCATAACTAACCGTTCTTGTTTCGATTCAGTTCCAGTAATTACATGGAATCGAATAGTTTTGTTTACAAATTCGACACCCACCTCTATAATCGAGTATCAAGTATCAAACTACTGACTTGCTATGAATAATCTTGTTTTGACTTGAAAAAAAAAAAGAAAGAAAGATATTGAAGCTATGCGTCACAAGTATTCTATCATTGGTTTGTCAAATTTTGCAACTTCATTTGGAGGGAAGAATTCGGGTCGAGTTCATCAACCTTTCATGTGGTGTAGTTATGAGTCACGATTTTCAAAAATAAGGTTTTGAGTCCCCAACCTATTTAAATATGTAGATCCAGATTTCGATGTAACCAAAACTATCAATGTGAATATTAAAATTGCATGTGATTTTCACATGACTTAAAGTTGGAGAAAAAAATCGCCAAACTATTGAACACTCTAATTCAACTTATAGTTACATGCAATTCTAACTTTCACATTGACAATTTATATCAGGGAGGAGCTCGAGGGATAAAAAAAAATTCATATTGGAAAGATATATAGAAGAAAAATTCATTTGAAACTTTTTTTTACCTTTAAAAATTTTAATTGGGCTTGGGCAGGCTTGGACAAAACTTCTGCATAAATGAAGGTGTGTTTTGAACGTGAACCTTCACCTAGAGTATTCTTTCGAAGTAAGTTTATTAAAAGCTATTATACTTGGACTTTTCCTTTCTTATTACACGTACCAATAACACTTTCCTCCTAGACGTGTTATAGTGCTTGCAATCACTCGTATAATTTACGTTAAGGGTGTGTTTGATAACACCCATTTTCCATGGAAAATGAAAAGAAATTCCATTTTCTTTGCAATTGTGTTGTTTGATGGCCAACTTTTTGCCTAGAATTTCTACCAATTATTTTCCACTCACGCGCCTTATTCTTGGCGTGAGAGGAAAAGGCTTTCTCACCTTTTAGGTGAGAAAATGTTTTCTTATCTGTCTGTCTTTTTTTATTTTTTTATTTAGCAATGGAAACAAAATTCATAATCAAGTGTAAAAAAAAAAAAATTTAACTTTCATGGACAATTTTGAT